ATCTGAAATAATTTCGCTGAAACTGAATCAGTATTAATAGAGAAGTTAGGTAATTTGAGAAGTGAGTTTTGTTCTGGACATTTACAGGCCATCTGAAAATATCACTTTTTAATGTCCTTTGATTCTCTCTCTCTGGTTCATTGGAATCTGAAATGGAGAATTCGAAATTCTCCGGTCGTTCCACTCAATTATCTCTCTTAACCGGAAGGGATAGTTATGCGAACGATAGTGGGATTGAGACAAAATCAATAAGCTCAGCTGCAGAAATTGAACATTCTGAAAAGATGACAAAGACCCAAGTTTAACATTATATTACTATCACGGGATGGTGAGGAAACTTTACAAATGTTTTGAAACAGTGCAATTTTGAAAAATCAATTTGACATTTAGAAGGAAACTTCGGAATTCTGCTAAAAATCGCACTGAAAAATGTTTAGGTGGTTAAAGGTGGGGACACACGAAAAAAAAGTCTCGAAATTCCGTTTACATACGCCCCTCGAGGAGTTGAACTTGTGAGGGCGAGGATTGAGGGTGCGGCGCCGCGGAATAAAACATGAGCGGAATATAATTTTTGAAAATCCGGAAGAATGAATAAGGAATAAGGGTCATATTCTGATTATCAATCGATAAACTGAAACATCCACACGTCGATTTGCATTCAGTTGGGAAACCATAAGGACATGTATCTTCTGAAAAGAACTACCGTAAAACCTGTGTTAAAAGGGTCGGCCCTTCTATTGTTCCAAGGGGTACCTCTGCAGGGCCCTTCAATTAGAGAGGTCTCTTTTAATACGGGTTTTACATATCTCAATTCTATTAAGAAGTATCTTCTGAATTGCCTACTCCTACGTCTACAGGTACTTTAGGCCATCACTTATAAAATTTTTACGGAACTTCTGAAAGAATTCATAAAATTGAAAATATTTAGACACAATTTTCTGATTCAAAATCTCTATACAGGGTGGCTGAAAAGTATTGAGACACTTGTTATGATGGCTCTTGGCACCGTGCCAAGTCGTATTTTCGAAAAGTTTCGTATTATTTCGAAAATAGGGAGCGTATATAAGCCGACATTAGAGCCATTTCCCATCACTTTATCTCTTCACGAAGTTATGCGAGCTTCTCCTCATCGCCAAACCATTGCCAAGCTGTTCAACGACGGCATCTCCACCGGTGACATCGCTCGAAGACTTCTTCTTCCGAGAGCAACTGTCTATCGAGTTGTGCAACAATTGAAAGATCGAGGACATGTGTTGGAGCTTAAGAAAAGCGGAAGACCTCGTACTGTCAACACTCGCCGGACTCGTGGCATCATCAAGAAGAGAATCACACGAAATGATGCGGTCAGCATGAACCAAATGGCTTCATCGCTCGGAATCTCAAGACAATCGGTTCAATCCATTGTGAAAAAGGACTTGGGTCTGAACAGTTATCGGCTCCTTCGTGGCCAATACCTCACAGAACAGTCCAAGAAGAATCGGCTCGAAAAAGCGAAA